TTGCGGAGCATTTTCCATACTTTCTTTTGGGCACCATATAGGTCGTAGTCCATGTCGCAAGTGAATTTGGCCCAATGTTCTCTTTACTACTCTTACAGTTAATTCGCCTAAATTAAAATGTTTTCCACTTGCCGTAGATCCTTCTTCTCCTAAGCGATCTAATATTGCAATTTTCGTTTTCAACGAAATTGATTGTCTTTAATGTTTTATTTTTCTCCACTGGGGCAAAAGAAATAAAAAAATTGGACTTCGAAATTAAAATTGCAAAAACCTCAATGAAAAATAAAACTTTACACTCACTTGAATTTTTTTAATTCAAAAACTGTGCTGCTTATTATACTGCAACTTGGAATCAGCAAAATTTTAAACAACTTATTATAAAACGATGTACCGCCAAGAGAAAAATTATTTTAAAACAATAAGGTTATACCTTTCAATGCGAAATTCGCAATGATGTAAAAGGGACATCTAAAGGGCAGTTATTAATAATTCGTCCAAATTAATCATCGTGTGGTCATTCAATTTTTGTATGCTAAAGGTTTACATCCATTGCAAATACATAAGCGAAGACAAGCAGTATATGGAAATGCATGTTTTTTATATCCAAATGTCAAGGAATGGTGTGTAAATTTAAGAGTGTAAAAGGGGAGATAAGTGATAAGCCGCGACAAAGTACATTAAGGACTGTATGAACACAGAAACTTTAATCAGAGCAATTGAAAAAATTGTTGATGTGAGTATAGGATATGTCCATAATATATTACACAAATTGGGTAACAGTAAAGTTTGTGTGCAGTGAATGAAAAATAAGCTTGCAAATGTGTTTATGTTTGCAACATCTAACGAATTACTGCAAAAGTTTAAAGTTGAACCTTCTGCCGACAAGATCACGACAACATTTTTTACTATCAAGGACCCTTGCTCATAGAGTTTACAAAACCTAAAGTATATATCAACACAAAACTGTATAATAAAATTTTGAACAAGTTCAATATAACGAAAACGTCCATGAAAGCAGTCACGTAGTATCATTCGTCTGCACAAGGCCTCATATTTGCAAACTATTAAAAGAAAACTAGTCTAGAACATAAAAAATAGAGAATATAAGAGTATCTACTCTAAAGTTCCGATTTATCGCCTTGCAAAATTCACATCTTTGAGTCACTAAAAACGGCGTTAAAAGGTAAGCTTTTTCGGTAGAACGATGAAGTACAAAATGCTGCAAAATAATTCTTTGAGCAATAGCCACAAGTATTATTTAAGTAGGGTATATATCGTTTGGTGTAACAATGGGATTTATGCTTTAATTTTGGTGGTAATTATTTGTAGATATATTTGCCAATACAGTATTTTTCTGTAGCAAAGCTGGTTTTAATTGGACAAGCCTCGTAAATTGCATCTGTTGAGGATCCTAATATTCTCATATTACAGATTAATCTTCCTCATACTTCCATGGTATAACTAAATAGTTTTATGGCCCTGTAGTTTTTGTTTTATTGACCAACTCCTTTGTTTTTACAAACAGATAATAACATATCGTTCCTACATTCATCTGGCATTTGTCCCAATTTTATAATGGGACAAATGCCAAACCACAAATATGTTACCCAATTTGTTTAGTAAACTGCTAAAGAATTTTTCCCATCAGTTTTTGAAATTTTCGTTAACTAATACTTAATTATTTTTGTCTCAGTTACATATTATATTCTGATTAAAATCTTTTTTCTCTTTAAGAAGCACCTTTATGTGGAGGAAAACAACGTTAAGAGCCGGCATTCCAACATACTACTTCATACACAATAATAAAGCAGCTGTATGTCAGTAATATTTTATTGAAGATACCATCACTTCGATAAGTCTATTAATTAAAACTTCGGTTTCGTTTTATTAGGGGCATAACTTGAGGACTCCTGCATGTTAAACGCTTCAAGAACTAAAATTTTACTAAAAATTAATAAAAATTAATATTTACAAAAGTGTGTGAACCTTGAAATTCACGAAATTTGTGGAGGTTACTGTGTCAACTATTTTTCCAATGAGCCAAAGTTATGCATCTCCAAAATTTTCGCTATTATTAACTTTTTCAGAAACCACTGTTATAAAAAAAACTATCATTTATAAAAAATGTTATTTAATAAATAAAAAACTCATTTCTAATTAAAATGTATTTAACAATTTTAATATCTTACATTTATACTACAGGCATCGATGCAAGTCTGGATTCGAGCTCTAGTATTGCTAACAAGTCGATCTATTTCCTGTAGTAGATTCTCCATTTTTCTCTACACGCAATTATAAGTTCATGATAGAGAATTGCTTTGGGTATAACCAGCTCAGGGTAGCACATCACATGTATGTTCAATGAGGTTCATGTGTGGAGACACCATAGGCCACTCCAAACGGCGAGTACCTTCTGTCTCAAGATAGTCATTAACCGCTTATAGCCTAGGGTGTCTATATGGACGGGCGTTATTGTGCATAAACATAAAATTTTTACTCACAGCTCCTCGCCACTGCTACCAGCGACGGACATGCGCTAGTTATGGACATGATATAAGGAAACATGGTATGCTCACGCGCATCTATTTTGAACAGCCAATCGCGTTTACGACCAAAATCCGCCATTTTGAAGGCGGCAATTCAAATATGTACAAATTTGATAAAAAATATCGTAGCTAAATTAAATAAAATAAAATTAATATTCTACATTAATCCAATTAATTCAGATTTAAAATGATCTGAACAGACTCTTGCTAAAATAATTTAAAAAAAATCGAAACAAATTTACTTTTAAATTCCAATACATTGCAAAGTAAGGTTAAAAAATGCAAAACAAAGCAGACGTCAAGCATGTAGAAGTGGTTGATCCAAGTATTTTTGTGGATCAGGTCAAACTGATACGCGTAAACAAATATACCTGTTAAAAAATACTGGTTTGGAAATCAGTTTGTTATCATTCGTTTAATAGATATCTAAACATAACGACAACATTATTTGTATTTTGTTAGATTTCTTTATAGTTATTTAAATGACTGATTAACTTCAAATACTTAAATTACTGTTATTCAGAGATTGTATAAAAAGTTCATAAAAAAATGGCGATAGTTTTGTTTACTTCACGCCAATTGTCATCTGTTGATATTTATCTAAAGCTTTGTAAACGTTGAGAAATGCACGATAAAAATTAAGGACAAATGCAATGAAACCCGTACTCGTTTATTATAATATATTGGTGTTAGGGATCAGTTCCACAAGTATAAATAAAATACATGTTCCAAAGTAACTGGTACGGGATCAGGTCACCATCTCTACACGCATGTAACATATTGAAAAGATGGTGGATTTTGGTCGGCGCAGAAATGTGCAAAAACGAGTCCACCTAGTGAGCATACCTTGTTTCCTTATATCATGGTTATGGAGCTCTTGTTAACTCTTGTCAAATACGAAATCACTGGCTATCACTATTTACACATATTCTGATCTCGTCTAAAAAAACACAAAATTCCAAAACTGTTGAGAAAGCTGTATGTGTTCTTAAGCCCACTGGAGGCGGTGTAAAACATATCTCGGTTGTAGATTAGGAACTCTTATTGGATGACTACTCCTCAAACCTGACTTTAAAATTTTTATTATTGCAACAAACGATATTCTGGACTCCTGTATAATTTCTAAAGTCTCTTTGTAGGGCTTTTATAGACATATAACAATGTCTTCGAATATAAATTCTGATATATCTATTCTGTTGCTCATTGGTAACTCGGGGTTTACCAAAGCGAGCTTTATTCTATATCAAATGTGTCTCCAGAAACCTATTCCATATCCATGAGACATCACTCTAAGAAACGCCCACTCTTTCTGCCACGAACCGCTGTCAAAGTCCTTCTTTAACTAAAGTTATATAGCTTGCACGGCACTTGGCATACAGTTATATAGCCAACCCAGAAATTAATTTATGATTCATTAAAAATCACTATTTTACAAACTTTACCAGAATAAATTGTTCAAATCTTTACACCTTGGTAAAACCAGATTAATTAAATGGGTAATTAAATAAAATAAAAATCAAAAGAAGAGTATTTTATATGAAAAAGATCTATTAAACACGTGAGAAGGATACCGATTTCTAAAAGTGTACAAATCGTGAGTACGGGGTGTGATGCAGAACTTTTGTAACTATGTGTATTTGTTCCATGTTATATGTTATATCTCTGTCATGTATCTATCCATTCTATATACCATTATATGTTCAGAAGTGAAGAATCGGAAGACTTCAGATGCACAGAAAAAAACAACGATTTTCTTCAAGTGTTAATAATATACGAAAAGAAATATTTACATCCCGTTAAACCTGCCATTCTATGACACATGTTTCGCTATTTTTAGCTCTTCAGGAAGTATCGCTGCTAAGACGGAATAGAGACCATTAATTATAACTTATCTAACTTTAATTATCTTAAATTATCTGCCCCTCTTCTCCAAAGAGCACCAGATGCGTCTGATATTTTTCACAAAATATCTAAGAGCGCACCCTGTTGTATTTTATTTTCTAAAACATTTAATAGGTAAGTTAGGTCGGTTTCTGTTTCAGAATTATGACAGAAAATTTAAATTGTGAGCAAATTGGTAAAAGTGGCTTTGTGTAACCGAAATAAAATTGATCAAATGGTGACAGTAAAATTTGCTTTATAAAAACATTCCCGAAAATCATGTACCGAGTTTAATTTTTTTGTAAGCAAAGCTAAATATTAAATTTCTTAGGCTGTATCAGTAATGAATATTAAAGGTTTTGACCATGTAAAATTCCTTCAAATAGTGCCGCACTCAAATCAAAATTTTGCTCGGATATACCATGATCGGTCTGCAGGTCTTCCTTAACCCATCATTACAACGTTGCCAATTCTAATAGCACGGCTTGTGAAGTAGCGGTACTTTGGATTTACACAGTATAAGAATAACCTATTTAGGATGTTCTAAAACAACCAAATTATTGTAGGACTTACCGTCTTTTCTGTAGTATAAAATCTCGGCGTGTTTTTCGACGCCATCTTGCAGGGCCTCCCTGAGATTCGCGACGGCCTGCTGTGAAGTTAGCGGACCGCACAGGAACTCGCAGGAGGCAGGTCTCTGCATAACCTCGGCCCTCGAATACCCTGTCAAGCGACAAAAGCCGTCCGAACAATAGATTATGTGACATTGCCCCTCTCTGCTGTTGGCTACCAAAAATGAACGATCTGAAAATATTAAAATAACACAAAATTACTAAACAACATGATATCTGAAGTATCTGAAAAAACTTCCAGTAATACATATAATTCCTAAGCAGAAATACAAGTATTTCCGCCTAAAGTTTTAAGCATAAAAGAAGACTAAGATGAAGACATATTAAAAAAAGTTAATGTCATTTTAATAAAGAGTAGGAATGTCGGGGACGTTATTCAGAAGTCGTACCTTTTGACAAGAACTACCACAAGGAGTGTCCTAGACATTACTTTAGTACCATAGTCTCGAGATATTTTAAATGAGTTCCTCTTGTTCCAAAGAATAATTCTATTGATTTTGATGTCATTATGGTCACCGAAAATATAGATAATTCCGGATAAAGAGGCCACATAGTCTACAAGCTTTTTATATAATTTCTTTCAGACATATGTAAGTATACTGTTTTTCCAATTTAGGGTTAAAAGGTAATTTGAAGAAAAAAAAAGTATGATATCGTCGAGTAGCATCATGTACATATATGTGTAAGTTACAATGTAAATTACTGTTAAATATTGTGGTTAAATGTGATTAAGCCACAATTGATTGTTTAAAATAGACTATAAATATGCTTAATTGTCACCGAAAATTGTACAATTTTGATCTGAAGCTATTTTCATGTGGCAATTTAAACTAATTAATACTTTAATGGGAATAAACCACAATTGAAGATTAAAGTAAGTTTATTGGCGTTTCAATTTCCACTTCGAAAATCATTCTCAAAATACAAACCGATTATAAATAATACAATTTAACCACAGGGATTAAGCCACAATTTCAGTTGTGGCATATTCTCATTAAAATAGTAATTATTGTACAATTTTATGGACTAAGTTTACAAAAAGTCATAAAATAACAATTTTAATTTGCTGAAATTACATAATTCGTTAATATTTCAAAATAAAAGATAGAATCCATTGCAAAATTTAAATAAACTACAAATTACATAATAAAACCTTACGAAATTAATTTAATGCTTTAATACTTGTACATAAAAGTACTGTTACTTCTTAGATATTCATTAATAATTTAAGTCTGTAGACGGGATCGGTAAATAAACATCAAAGGTTAAATTTCTAGTGGAATAGTTATCATTAGGTGTTGCTGGAAAAACATGTAGGTGTTTACGAAATAAGCAAGCAGTTTCTAAAATGTATAAAAATAAATTCTGAAGTCAAACAGATACCGCATTGTTCTCTTTTGTAATTTAAACATAAGATAAGATTGGAAAGGTAGGTATACTGGAACTCCAAAAAGGAAGACCATATCAAAGATTAGACTCGAACAAAGAAAATATGCTATTTTGGAAAAAGCTAAATTGATTTCATTCGAAGCAGATCTTATTACATATTAGGCTGAGGCTAGTTTCTTACTTAAAAAATCGATATGAAGGAACCACTTAGGTTGCTCTCTATAAAAATAACAAAAAATTTTACAGAATTAACCATACTGATTGTTATTAAGAAGCAAAGAGTTTTTTATATGATAATACTTCTCTCTTATTCACGGTAAAAGAAAGTGAATTTAAGTCGTACCAGGTTTTTATTTGTGAGTAGATTAGAAGTTATAGCTGCATGACGAGTTGCAATATTAGAATTGCTTTTGGTAACACCGGTATTATCAGCTAAAAGAAAAATGTTTTCATCGATTTTTTAAATTATGTATTTAGATCATTAATAAAGGTAAGGAAAAAAGGACCCAACATTTAATTTTTTGGTATTATTGGCTTATCCACATTATCACAGTCGTGCGAAAACTCGCAACGTGAACGTACACACCAGCAAAATTTCAGAAAACCGCTAACAAAGGTCCAAACCGTGAATACGGGTCGCGAAAAATGGTAAAGCGTGTGCCAACGGTCGCGAAATCCATCGTGAACACGCGAACGGATCCACGGTGCCGACGTGATGTGTTCTGGACGCTTGGACTACCAGAAACAATAGATGCGAAATTGTCACGTGGAGGTATAACAGTAGTGCATGTAAGGTACCAAAACTGGCAATCTATGTAGTATCAAAACCGAACAGGCGTGGCGCCAGCCGGTCGATAATTCCTAGAACCGCTTATTGTAAAATAAAGGGACAAGAAAGTATTGACATTGGTGCCGTACTGGAACTCATCGACGTAGAGCCCTACCGAAATACGCAAGTGCACACTCAACCCAAGTTGAGTCAACACCTACACACACACAAGCACACCTACACACACTCAAGCCTTCATCCACACACTTACAATTAACACACATCTACACATTTCATACACTTATCACAATCACCACACCTACACATTTCATACACAGACAATTTACACAATTTATACATATCACACTTCCATACATATCTAGATATTCCATACATTTACTATTTACCTCATCAACACAATCACACACACTCATACATACAAATTCATACATACACACATAACACACTTCCATTACACAACTAATATACATATAAACACACACAAAACACATCATGCCACGAACACGATCCAAAGCACGAAAACAAAAAGATCCATCTAAACCACCAAAATCACCCGACACAGTGGTGTACTGTCCACCTCATCACACACATCACAAGTGTCTGTCACCATGGATGGACACGAACAAAGGTCGCCGCAGGAGTGGAGGCAAGCCCTGGGTGAGATCTGCCACCAAAATCCAGAGGTGGCCAGCGAACACCTCACACCAATACTCCACAACATAAACCAAAAAACCAACACCCTCACTGAAGTCATTAAAAAAATGATCTAAAACGCCTTCATGTCAAAATCAAAAATATTTTGATTTTGACTTTAATTTAATACAAAACGTAAAATGTTTGATGTAAAATCCAATCATTCTGTTATTTTGTCAAATCCTACTATTAACTATTCTGCTGATATATTTATTTTATTTAATATTTCGTTAACTATTAACTTTATTAAAGGCATTTTATACCAAAATTCAGAAGTATTGATGTTTTTTGTTGTACTGAATATTTTGTATGTAGAATTAGCTTGCTTATTGATCATAGTGAATTATTAGATCGCAATAATCATAAGATTCCTGTTGGAGTTTTATTAAAAAAAGATTGATGTTTTTGTCTAATTTTCTTTCGTTGCCTGGAGTAATTGGGTTAAATCAGAATTATGTAGTTGATTTATAAAATGCGATTATCTCGAAAACTGTTGAGTTTTAAAGTTATTGACAAGTATACCTTTTTTTGTAAAAAAATGTATCTTTAATATTTTTTATTAACACTGGTAACTTAAAGAGCAAAAAAGTGCCAATATATGCCACGTATGTGGCATATGTGGCGCCCTCTAACAGCTACATTAAAGTATGCATCAAATTATATTACATGATGTTCAGTATACTAGTTATAAATTTTGATACATAAATGTTTATAAACATGAAAGTTATAGCAAAAACTAAAATTTTAAATTTCCACTTTAACACCCTGTATCTTTTTTAATAACAACATTTTATTAAAACAATTTGGCTTAAATAGTAATATTTTAAAGTGTAGAATTTACGGTTTCTTTTTGTACAAATACTTAAGGACCACCCTGTATATGCAACACCTAACACATATACACAGTACACGAACACTCTCTCAGACACAAACTCTTATAGCACATATTAATAATGCAGAACACTTATAACAGAAGACCACAGAAGAACACATAATAATCAGAATTTAAAGTTTTTTTTTACTAAAGACACTGAAGTGTACTTACATTAAAATCTGGTCAGTAAGACCAATTATTAATTTGTTTCTAACTTAAATTACTAATGAAAACTTAAAATTAGGTGTCTACTCACTAGTATCTTTCCTATTATTTCTAATAACTAGCATTATATTTAGGATACATACTCGCACAACACTTTGCTCTGCTTTTCACTCACTCACTATACCAGTTCAAAAGGCTTTGTTCTTTTGAGCCTTCTCTCTAGGTTAGTATTGTCGAGGAACTGGATAGCCTCGACGTTTACATGATGATGGAGTCATTTTTCATGGCTCCCTGCAAATTTCTTGATTATCTGATTGACATCTTCCATCTTGAGGTCCCTGTGAAGATCGTTGTTCCTAACGTACCAAGGCGCATCTACGATGTTCCTTAGCACTTTGTTCTGGAATACCTGGATTACTTTAATGTTACTAGGCTTGGCACAGCCCCAGAGTTGGCAACCATAGGTCCATACTGGCCTCAGTATTTGTTCATAGATTAGGAGTTTATTATTTATGTATAGAGAGGAATACCTTCCCATCAACCAATAATTTTCTTGTAGCGGATGCCTAGTTCTTCTCTTTTCTTCTTCACGTGAGCTTTCCAGCAAAGTTTCGCATGAAGAGTGATCCCCAAGTACTTTGCTGATGTTGCAATAGGCACTTGGACATCATTTATTCTATTTGGAATAATATTAATTTTTTTATTGGTAAAATTTATATGGACTGATTTATTCTTATTCAGCTTAATTTTCCATTTTTTGGTCCATTCATGAATTTTATTTATTGAATTTTGTAGTTTTTCTGTAGCTTCTTTGACGGTGTCACTTACTGCTAAGACAGCAGTGTCATCTGCAAAGGTAGCTATGGTGTCGTCTTCTAGTTCAGGTATATCACGTGTATATTAGGTATAGGACTGGACCCAATACACTCCCTTGTGGAACACCTGCTTCAATATCCTTGAGATCAGTGTATGCATCTTCTTGTTTAACTCTAAAATGTCTGTTCGCTAGATATGATTGTAATATATTTGAATATTGTTTAGGCATGAATGATTTAAGTTTATGTATCAAACCGTTATGCCAGACTTTATCAAACGCCTGTGCCACATCTAGAAGGTTGCCTGTGCCACATCTAGAAGGTTGCCTGTGCCACATCTAGAATTTAAAGTAAATACGTTTTCAGCCAAATCATTGCTGTTGCATATATGACCGCAGCTAAGTGCGTTGATTTTCATTTTGGTAAAATGACATAACCTCGTCAAT